CATTAACAAAACCTTTTGGGTTCTTCAGATTTGTTTGTTTCTAGCCTGTTATTGACGGTTAAATGTTGCTGAAAGAAAGCAGAGATGAGTAGGGGCTGATCCTCTCATTATTAAACTGAACAGCAGAGTCTGTAACTGGAGTTCCAGGCGATCCTTGTGCTGCTGTGTTGGGCCCATGATGGGGGCGGGGTCCACAGTATCTGCTCGCTGACCTCCCAGATAGTCCAGGATCCGCATCTCCATGGTGGAGTTCAGCTGTCTCTGAGGGTGGGGAAGCAGGCTTGAGTAGGGTCAGGGTCAGTGACAGGTTAATTGTTGGTGAGGTTACACTGAGTGCTTGTAAATCTCAGGCTCTGACTCAAACTGCAAACTTCCCACACTCGTAGAGATGGACCTCCCATCACTGAGTGCAGACAAAAGACTGACTTCCTTTCCTCTTCTTTTTAATTCTCTTGACACTAAGAAGTGTCACATCTGGAGGAATCTGGGTTGAGCGTGTCCTTGTCAGATACCCAGCTGCCAGCAGGGGTCACTGGATCGTAGGAGGATTCCAAACCACCTCCCCCACCCCCATTTTACTGCTGCATCACACACCCTGCCTTCAGCTAAGGGTCACTGGTGTGGCACACAGTGCTGTCACTGCAGTGGCTCAGCATGGCCAACACACCACAAAACTGCTCTCTGCAGCTCAGGGGAACCACTTTTCCTTTCACTCATTATTCAATCTGTCAGAGTTCAGGATATCTTTACCGAGGGAGGAGCTGGAAAGCAAACTATTCTTGTACATCTCCCAAGTGAGCTTTTAAGAATATAGCCCCACTGAGAAAAGTCCTGCAGTAAAGAGAATGAAGCCTCATTAACTGCTCTCATACCCACTGACAAAATGAGGTTCTGGGGGGGCCCCCCTACACAGCATTTGTTTCTCTTTCGGGTCAGGATAAATATTCTGTTCAGCAAAATGTAAAATAGTTGTAGAGGGCAAAGTCCAGAAGGAGAAAATGTGCATAACCTAACTCGCTCCATGTGCGATGATTCTAATCGGTTTCCCCAGCTTTTGATTCCTGACTTTAAGAAACTCTCAACTCCAGCAGCACTGACCTTCCAGGGTGAAGCACAAAGGGCGGTCTCTCTGGTGACCCAAGGCCAATGTCGTTTGAAATGTGATCTGGGCCGTGTGGGAGCTTGCTTTGGGAAGGTACATCTTTGGGGCAAGCGATGTATCTGTTGGTTATACATAGCTCTATTTCACACACTTCCCTTCTCACCAAATACTGATCCAGGTCCCTTTTATGGAAACATATCTGCTGTACCATGTTGTCACAAATAAAGTCCCGGTTTCTGAGCTACACAGGCCAGAAACGATCCAATATTCAAACCTTGGTCTCTGTGGAAATGGCAGTCCAAGGAAGGAGTGACCCTGATTCCTACCTGGAGTACCCTGTTGGAAACCCACCTCCAGCCAACCCAGGAAAGGTACAACATAAATGTTACACTTCCTATCAATCAGAACCTATTTCACTCACCCTGTGTCCACACAGACAGACTTTCAACAGGGTACTCCAAGTAGCAGCCAGGGTCACTCCTTCCTCAGGCAGCCATTTCCACAGAGACCAAGGTTTAAACGTTGCATCATTCCTGGTCTGTGTAGCTCAGAAACAGGGACTTTATCTGTGACACCCCTGTTCTATTACTAAGGATTGTACCTGGGTGCTCTGTACCTAAGATGGCACCTCGTTGGTGACCTTGTAACTGATCTTGTAACTGAAGAAGCTGTACCTAAAATGGCGCTATAAATGGGGACTTATAAACTTTTCACTGTATACATTTGAGTACAGGTGACAATAAGGCTAATTCAATTCAATGTGTTATAGCCAGTGATGTGCTATTGAAGCACAGTCACTTTTGTGAGAAAGCAGCAGCCAATTTGCTCACAGCAAGCTCCTGCAAACGTTAGTATGATAACGACCCAGATTATCTGGGGCATAAACCTCCCCTGCTCTGCCACTGTTGGGAGGAATTGAGGATGGTGAGGAGAAAACAAATAGGCTTCAAAGCAAGTTAGGTAAATGAGTGGACAAGTACATGGCAGATGCAGTTTAATGTGGATGAGTGTCATGTTATCCACTTCAGTAGGAAAAGCAGAACAATAGAGTACATTTTAAACGTTACTATATAGGGAAAGTGGGTTTGCAAAGGGACCTGGGTGTCATTGTACACCAGTCCCAAAAGCAGGCATGCAGGTGCAGCAAGCAGTTTGGAAGGCAAATGGTATGTTGGCCATCATTGCAAGAGGGTTTAAGTTCAGAAGTAGAGATGTCTTGCTGCAGCTGTCTCACTAAGGCCTTGTACGACACCTGGAGTACTGTCTCGTGCTCAGAAAAAATATACAGCAAACCTTTATTAACCAGCGCCTAGGGGACCAAGAGTATACCGTTGATCAGATATTCCAGTTGATCAAGAGGGTCGTGTAACGTAAAAACACACTACGTAATGGGATTGTAGTGCAGAGGGCATACTCCTCACCGTCATACTTTATTCACAGCATAAGTCATTGAAATCATAATGCAACTTTGCTTTAAATAAAACTTACTGGCAAAGAGTCTTCTCATGCATCCCCCTACCTGACTACTTGGAGGGTGTGATGATACGGTAAACTTCCAGTATTCAGGGTATATAATTTTTGCCAGTTCATAAGGTAGCATTAAAACTAAGTTTGCTGTACTTGCCTTAGAGGGAGTGCAGTGAACGTTCACCAGACCGATTCCTGGACCAGTAGGTTTGTCATATGAGAAGAGATTGGGTCAAATGGACCTGTATTCACTGGATAAAAACTGAAAGGACTGCAGATGCTGTAAATCAGAAACAAAAACGGAAGCGTCACTCGACCCGAAACGTTAACTCTGATTTCTCTTCACGGATGCTGCCAGACCACCTGAGCTTTTCCAGTGATAACTGTTTTTGTTTCTGTATTTGCTGGAGTTGAGAAGAATGAGAGGAATCTCATTGAAACGTATAAAATTCTGACAGGGCTGGAGGGACTGGATACAGAGATGATGCTAATCCCTGCTGGAAGTACAGAACAAGTGGCTCTCAATCTTGGAATATGGGATAGACCATGTGGGACTGAGATGAGGAAAGATTTCTTCACTCTGAGGGTTGTGAACCAGTGGAGTTCACAACCACAGTCGGCTGAAGTTACTGACTGTACTTAAGAAAGAAATAGATTTCAAGACGCTTAAAGGTGGTTTGGATGGTGGGGGATTAAATATGCGAGGTGGTAGCAGGAGTTGAGATAGAGGATCAGCTACAATCATGTTCAGTGATGGAGCAGGCTCAATGGGCCGAACTGCCTCCTCAGATCCTGTTTTCTACATTTCTCTCCTGTTAACCAGCTGATAGGTCATTCAGTTCTTGACTCTGGCTCCAGGAATTGTGCCTGGGACTCTGATCTGTAATGGTAAGTAACATCCTTTTAACCCATGACCATTTGTCTGCCTCCATTTCAGAGCTGGAAAGTTAGATTTCTCATTTTCTGGCCTGCCTTGCACAGCTGGAAGCCCTGGGATGGTGCATCGTGTGCTGGATTCATCAGATACTAAAAATTCCAGGATCCCGAATGCTAATGACATTTCTGGCTTGTGTTATCTCGAGTAACAAGCTTCCTGAAGAGCTATTCCTGGAGAGGTGGCCCCATCTGTCCTCCAGCAGTCGCTTCCTGTAGGGACTGGGGATCTGCTAAATTCCTCGGGCAGCTTTGAGTTGTAAAGCCTGGCTTTGCTGGACCTTTTACATGTAAGGTGACTTTGCTGTTCCTCAGGCTGTGTGTCTCTGAAATAAATGTTACCCAGCTGTGTAAAGCAACAATGCCTGTATACACGTCACACTAGGATCTAGACTAGTGTCAGATAGCAATGTTGTTCAGCTAAGATGCACAATACCTTATTGTACTTCCCAGAAAGATCCAGGGACACTTGACAATCTAATTCATTCACTCAGCGTGTAGTGATTGTTATGCCAAAAAGCTGACCAGACTGGAACTCTGTTTTATTTCCTCAGAAAAGAGGCGACTGAAGGGATGGAGTTCTTTTAAAATGTTGTTTTGATAGAGTAGACAAATGGGAAAACAGAACAGAGAGGGCCATCAGTTTAAAACAACCACTCAGAAATCCACTCGAGGATGCAGGAGAAAGTTCTTTCCCCAGAGGGTGGCAGAGAACTCACTTCCACAGGAAATGGCAGATGTCAATACTATCAATGTATTCAAGGGGCGATTAAATGCACGAGGGAGAAAGTTGGAGAATGTTACAGAGATTATAGATAAAAAAACATTTGAATCATTTGCAATCACAGGCCATTCAGCCCCTCGAGCCTGGTCAGTAAGATCATGGCTGTCCTGATTACTTTGTATTCCACTAACCCCCGATAATTTTCACCCTTTTTGCTCTTCAAGAATCTATGCACCTCTGCCTTAAAGTGATGCAAAAATCTGCTTCTACCTTTTCTTAAAGAGAGTTCCAAAGACATGTGGAAAAAGTTAAGAGTGTAGCGGGGGAGGTCGGTGAGTAGTCTGCCGAAGGTTTTCAGAGAGTCACTATGGAAGTTTTTGAGAAGACGTGTAGCTGGGGTTGTGGATGGGCTTGTTGATTTGTTCACCAAGCTGGTAGGTTGGTTTGCAGATGTTCGTCGTCATCGTGGAGGTTTGGGATCGGGGCAAGGAATCTTCACTCACTGAGAAACAGGATTGAAGAATATTCTTTACTCTGCGGACCAAGGCTTGGAACACTTCACCAGTGAATATAAACAAATTGCATTTGTATTTGATAAGAATATTAAAGTATGCAGGAAATGGGATTAGCTTTGGCAGCTGCAGTGAAGAGTCAATGATTTGAATGCTGGATGATTCCCGATCTTCACATTTGTTCTGAGGTCAAGTTGTAGTCTTGTTTACAAATGTGTGGAGCCAGTGACTCAGCCAATAATGTGCATCTCTTCATCTGCAGTCCCCCAGGCGGATCAGACCGATTTACAAGAATCCTCAAGCATATTCTGACCCAGAGAAGGTGAGAGAATCATTTTTATCCACTCCCATCCTGTCCCAAAGGTGCTGACTTTTGTCAGGCTCTGGATCCCCCTGTCCTTCCATACTTAACTGTGCATTGACATATGAAAATGGACAGTGAGTGCAGGCCCCTCATGTTCTGTACCACCTCCCTTTCACTGTCACCGTAGCTGAAGGGCTCCGTGAGAATTTAACCTCCAGCCTTGAGCTCGCCACTTGTGAATGTTTCTGAGTTTCTGGAAAGGTTGATTAAAACATCCAGCAATGTGGCAAATGAAAGCGCTGCTGATTTGCCAGGGATTTGCAAGCACACTCAGCTCTTAGTCTCTCACACACCACTTTGATTTGGACATATATCAGCTGTCCCTTCATTGTAGCTACGACAAAATCCTGGAGCTCCTGACCTAACAGCATCATTCTTGTTTACTGTTCATTCCTATCTTCTCCAGGAGCAAGACAGACAATAACTAACAGTCGTATCCAATCTCAAATGCATACAAAAGTCTAATTAGGAAAGATTTTCTTTGGCACATTCTGGATGAAGTGCCTCAGTGATGAACTAGGGTTTTATTTGCCTAACAGCTCAAGGGGGAGGGTAGGATGAATGTGTATTGCCAAAGAATATTGGATTGTTGGCTAACAGCCTTTTCTTTCCTTCACCTCCTCCCCCACCCCCCACAGTTACTATCCTCTGTACCCACCCGCAGAGGAGATGAACATAGATTACGAGTGTCTGCAGTTGTATGCGCAGCTCCCTGTTACTCCTGATGTTTTAATTGTGCCCTCTGAGCTGCGATATTTTATTAAGGTGAGGAACCTGTAATTCTCAGCATTGTGACTTCTGTCAATCCAGTAATAGCTGTGTGCGCTGGCTGCTCCCGTTTGATCTTTATGACGGTATCTTTTGATACCTTTATCTAATATAAACACAAGAGGTGTTGGCCAGGCACTGGACCTTTACCTCAGCATTCTAAGTAACCCAAAGAGGGATGTTCTCCCTGTTACTGGCTGCGTGAGAAGTAACTTTGGCAGTTCTGCTATCCAGCAGAAAAGGATACACGGCATGACATTGCTGTGAATTCAGTTAATTCTGGCACAAACAGTGCAACATGTGCAGTAGGATCCATTGAGGTTGGGGCAAAGGGGTTTGAGATTTTGATAGGTTTGGATGTTGCTTAGTGTATTTGAGCTCATCCCTGCCAACTCTGGTTTGTGTCTAATCAACACTGATCGTAATTCCAGATCCCAGATTTTGTCAACTCATGCATGTGACCATTGCTTAGTTTGACGTGGAAATTGACTTCTCTTGCTTTAGACCTACGTATGTGAACCTGTTTGAAGGTTCACAAGTCAGCCCAATAGGCACAACCACTGGCATTGGTTGGGACTTCCTTAGAGGAAACTTAGTCACTGTTGTGTGAATCTGTGCTGGGCGTTTTGTAAGGGGCTTTATTTTGTGTTTATCCTTAGCGTGTTTGCCTGCAACAAAGGAGGGGGATGCTACCTGTGGGGATGGATGGATGGAAAGCTGGGCTAGGAGGGAGGTGCTGATTGAGAAAACTGTGCGTTAATCTTTGGTCACCTCTGCTTTATCCAAAATCAGGATGTTCTGGGCTGCATCTGCATCAATCCTGGGAGGTTAACCAAGGGCCAGGTTGGTGGGACCTACGGGCGCCTGTTTGTACAGAAACAGAGTAGTGAACAGGCAGATCGTCAGACTCCCTGTGTGGCTGCACAAGTGGTGAAAATTTGATCCTCTCGAGGCAGATCGACTTTCTCCCATGGTCCCAAATATTGGAGAATCCCTGGGCCGAAGCAGGAATGTCAGGCAGGCCTCGCTGAGAGCCACCTCACTCTGCTGGACATGCTATTGGCATTCTTCTCTGGACCCTTCAGCAAAACTCAGTTCATTTGAGGTCAAACTCGGCATTTCATTTGCCTGACACAAAGGACTTGTTGAAACAGGATGACATTCGCTCCATAGTTTACTTCTTTTTTCTCTCTCCCTCTCTCTCTCTCTCTCTCTCTCTCTCTCTCTCTCTTCACCACCCCCCGATGCATTGGAGCACTGAGATGTAATGTAAAACTCAATTTTTGATGAGGTTTCATGTAAATAAATGATTTGATTGTTCTGTTGTATGCCAGAGAGATTAACTTTTAATTTTGAGAGTCAAGTGGTGAGCTCATGTCTTGCCTGGCAAGGAACACCTTGCTGCTGGTTCCTAAGGAAGGTAGGAACAGCTGCTCCCAAAACATAGCTCGGGGCAACCATACTGAGGCTGGAGACCTGTAACCAACAGCTGCAGCATGTATTTATCGAGCACTTTTAACATGGGAAATAAGAGTAGGCCATTTGGCTTATCAAGTCTTTTCTGTCGTTCAGCTCGATCATGGCTGATCTTCTCCCTCAGTCATTTTCCAATACTATCTTTGTATCCCATATTGTCATTTATGATGAGGAATATCTGTCCCAAACCTTTTGAAATCATACAAAATATGACAGTAAGACCCATACACAGATATTAGGTCAAACTTCTTCAAACTTGGTCATTGGGTCTAGGCTTTGAGGAGTGTTTGAATGACAAGTTTAGGGAGTGAAATCCAGAGCTTAGGTTCTGGAAGACTGAAGGAACAGCCACCAATGGCGATGGGAAGGAAATGGACAAGAGATTGACAAGACCCCAGAACTGGAGGAATGTAGAGATTGTAGGACTGGAGGAGGTTAGAGGTGGCCAGGGGCCAGGCCATTGGAGGTGGGTGCGAATAAGGGAGCAGTGTTGTTCTGTGGGGCATTGGTAATTACTGTAGGAGGTCACCTGATAGTATCTGTAACTGAAATGTGTGCCTCAGAGTGATAACAGGATTGTGCTTTTAATTCCCTCGTCCTCTGGGAAGGAGGGCCACAAAGGCCAGGAAGGGAGTGTTGGGAATATTGCTCCGGGTTGCTGCTACATCAAGCAATGGACAAATTATCCAGCTGCATTAACCAGGTCCGTGGTTTGCAGAGGGTGTAAGATTCTGAGAAGCCCTTAGCTGCATAGTTGGTGTGAGAGTGTCCCATCAGTGGCGCAACACCAGATTCAAGCAGCATTTCTATTGGATCTCCAGCGTTTGGTACAGTGTTACCATATCTTCAGGATTTGCTAAAGTACATGAGTTGTTCCAAAGTGGTCAGTATCCTTATAGAGTAACACTAACCAGTCTGCACATTTAGAAACCATTAGTCAGTGAGTTTGTGCTGCTGTAGGTTAAACGCTGAACGGTGACCAAGATGTCAGGATAATTCTGTGCTCTTTCAGTAATACCAGTGGATCTTCAACAACAACAACAACCTGAGTGGGCAAAAAAAACTTGGTGTTGATTTTACTACAAGCACTGGCACCTATGACAGTTCAGCACTCGCACTCCCTTGTGTCCTTGCCCAATCCAACATTCCCAGTATTAAATATTCAATTTAAAGCTCTGGGGACAGGGGTTCACATCACGCAGGTCTGCTGGTGGAATTGAAAATTTGTCTCAGTGAAGGTGACCGTGGCAACTATCATTGACTGTTGTAAAATGCTATTGGGTTTACTAATGTCCTTTAGGGGAAGAAATCGACTGTCCTTACCTGGTCTGGCCTAAATGTGACTCCAGACCCACAGAGGACTCTAAGCTGTCCTCTGGAATGGATGGGGGAGCCATTCATTTCATGGGGCAGTTAGGATCTATCCCTTCTGCTACTCTTGTACTGTCCTCTTCTGATCATCTCAGACATACTAACTCTGGAAGAGCATTCAAACAGAGATTCTGACCACTTCTCTCCATCGGTGGATCAAGCTTAATGCAATTGGAGTTGAATGGCCTAATGGAGCGAGCCAAGAAGACCATGTTGGCTGTGACAAAGTGGAGCAGTTGCTGTACTCCTTGTGACATAGCTTTCACCACATGGTGGGAAAATAGAGGGGACAAGGGCTTTGGGAGTATTGTCAATTGAGAAGAGAACAGGAAAGTACCTGAAGAGGACGTGAACAGGATGGACGGAACAGGGAGAGAAGTGCCTGATGACATTTGTTGGAGAGAAGTATAAAGTGGTACGTTTTGGAAGGAAGAGTGAGGAGAGATTAAATAAAGGGGGGAAAAATAATCTCCAGAAGAGGTACTGTAACAGGGGCACCTGGAGGTATAGGTACGTAATTAAAGACAGCACAGCAGGAAGTGAGAGGCAGTTGGGATCTTTGGATTTGTGAATAACGGTATTGGATGAAGAAAAGGAGGGAGTTATAATCAAAACCGAAAGAACTCCAGATGCTGTGAATCAGGAACAAAAATAAAGTTGCTGGAAAAGCTCAGCAGGTCTGGCAGCATCTGTGAAGTTAAAAACAGAGTTAACGTTTCGGGTCCGGTGATTCTTCCTCACAACTGAGGAAGTTCATGGATGCTGCCAGACCTGCTGAGCTTTTCCAGGGAGTCTATAATCAGTTTGCATAAAATACTGGTTCAGCCTCCACTAGAGTACGGTGTCCCATTCTGGTTAACACACTCCCGGAATGATGAGGAGGCTTGAGATGGATGTGGAAAAGATTCACGGGAATAGTTCCAGGGCAGCGCAGTGGCTGAGTGGTTAGCACTGCTGCCTCACAGTGCGAGGGACCTGGGTTCAATTCCACTGACTGTTTGTGTGGGTTTCCTCCAGGTGCTCCAGCTTCCTCTCGCAGTCCAAAGATGTGCAGGTTAGTTGGATTGGCCGTGCTAAATTGTCCGTCGTGTCCAGGGATGTTCAGTCTAGGGAAATGCGGGGTTGTCGGGATGATCTTCAGAAGGTTAGTGTGGACTCAACTGGCTGAATGGCCTGCTTCCACACTGTTGGATAAACGCTGGGCCTAGTGATGTCCACATCAAAGAAGTAAATTTTTAAAACCCAGGTCATAGTCATATGTTGTGTGGGAGCTTGCTGTGTACAGTGAAGGAGTAGATTGCGGATGTTGGGACTGTTTTCTTTAGAGAAAGGAAGGTTGAGAGGTGATTTGATCGAGGTGTTCAAAAAGGTGAGGGGTGCAGACAGGAGTAGAATGCAAAAAAAACCGTTCCCTTTTGTGAGAGGGTCAAGGACCAAGTGACCTGGGTTTAAGATGATTGCCAAAAGAAACAATGGTGACATGAGGGAAATCTTTCTTGTATGGAGTGTGGTTAGAGCCTGGCATGTGCTGCCTGAGAAGGAATCTGCTCCACCACAATCGTGACTTTCTACAGGGACTTGGACAATTATCTGAAGGAGTAGTACTGAAAAGGAGGAAAGACGAATCAATTATTGAAAGTACATCAAACCCAAGAAATGTGGACCGCAACTGTGCGGGAGTTAACTGGGAATCTGTGCTATGTCCTAAATTAATGTTTTATGGCCTCAAACTTCTGCCATCTGGAATTTTTTAAATCTTAACTCATTCTTAGAGTATTTTGTAACTCCCTAAAGGGCTGATTTTAAGTATTCGGAAAAGTTGACATAATTTCCAAGCATTTTAGTTTTAAATGTCTGAACTTCCACTAAGGAAACGCCATCCTGTTCCTTGCGTCGCCCCTAAACCAGAAACTAGTGCAGCCTGATTGAATGCAGTTAAAGAAAGTAATAGATCACAGCTTTTGCCTCAGGTTTTCAGTCTATGAACCTTGTATTTTTCCCCCTTTTCTTCCCTTACCCCACTATAACCAAGACCTCTGCCTTCCCTCTTGGGTAGTTGTTAAAAGTTCCCCAGCGTAGCATTGAGTGAAGAACTCCTGTATGTATTGGAGCCAGTGTTATTCCTTAACCAGTACCTAATGTGAGATGGGGACAACAACAGCACCACCTCCAAATTGCCCTCCAAGTCACTCACTATCCTGACTTGGAATGGTCTTCCTTCAGTGTCGCTGGGTCAAAATCCTGGAACTCCCTCCCTGACAGCATTGTGGGTGCCCCTACATCCCATAGACTGCTGCCATTCAGGAAGGCAGCTCACCACCACCTTCTCAAGGGCGATAAACGCTGGGCCTAGTGATGTCCACATCAAAGAAGTAAATTTTTAAAACTCAGGTCATAGTCATATATTGTGTGGGAGCTTGCTGTCTACATTACAGTGGTGACGATACTTCAGAAAAAGTTCTTTGTTCGCTGTGAAGCTTTGGGGCACCCTGAGGTGCTGGAGAAATGGGAGTTCTTAAGTGCGACACTCTGTGATGATTGTTACACTGCCCAGTTCCATCAGCACTCTTTTAAAGGGATATCCCATTCTGAGTTCTTCAGAGTCTCTCTCACTATGTGTGTAGAGCAAGATATATTCATTAAAGCTACCAAAGTTTCCGCACAAGCAAGCAATTGAGCTGAAACCTTAGACTGTGTGCAGTTTAGTTTAAACACTACATGATGCCATTTGAGTCCTAAACTCATGCTTCAGCCTTTAGCTCCCCATAGCCACCTGTTACCCAGCCAAATCACACTGAATATTGAACATAGGGTTACCTTCAGGAGGTCAACTTCCAAAGTAGCTCAGGAAGCTGTGATGATGGGAGGCTGCAGCATTACCAGAGTAGATCTTTAAGTCATTTTGTTTTTGCATTAAATCAAGCAATTACTTTCTCTAACCCCTTGTGTATAGAGGGCTGAGGGGTGATTTGAGGAAGGCCATTGAAGCAACTGGGTCCAGGGCACTATCCTGAGGAACTCCTGCAGAGATGTCCTGGAGCTGAGATGACTGACCTCCAACAAACAGCACCTTATTCCTTTGTGCCAGGTATGATATTTACTTCGCAGAGCACTTATGTTCTGTCAACAAAAAATATCCTGATCTTCCAGAGATAGTGGGTCCAGAAACGAAACGTCAGCTTTCCTGCTCTACTGATGCTGCTTAGCCTGCTGTGTTTATCCAGCTCTACACCTTGTTACCTCCTGATCTTCCAGTTGCCTGCCAATTCAATACACCACCTGTTCACTGGCCAACATCTTTGTCTTGGGCTTGCAGCAGTGAAGCTCATCGCAAACTGGAAGAACAGCACCTCATTTTCCTCTTGGGGACCCTGCAGCCTTTTGGATTCAATATCGAGTTCAACAACTTTCGGGCTTGAGCTCTCCATGTCTTGACCCCAACCCCCACACACTAGGCCTGGTTATCACATAGTCTGCTATT